GGACATTAGTATGCAGAGCCAGCCCCTCAGCCCTCTCGCTGTCCCACAGCCCAGGGGCAGGAGCTGGGGGGCTGCTGGCAGCAAGAAAGATGGGGGTGGGGCAGGACTGAGACTGAGGAGACCTTTACCCACAGGGGCTCCCCTGGGGGCACTGCCCAGGAGTCAGGAAAGGGAGACTTGATGAGGGACCCAAACCTGCCACTTCCAGGAGAGGACTCTCTAAACGGAGACAGCCACGGGGCAGGAGAGGTGGGAAGGGGCTGTAGGAGACCAGGCCCCTTGGTCCCTGGCTGATCTGTAGAAGTGGGTGGGCCATAGGAATCCACCTACTTCTTACCTTAGTTTTCCATCTAGTCCAGGGCATGGGTGGGTAGAAGAGCAAATTCGGAGCGCTAAACAGCAAGATCTCAAACCAAACCCCAGAGCCACCACCGGGACAGAGGCTGCGTCTCAGACTGTCAGGTTTTGGGGAATAGGAGAGGGATCCAAGCCCCCAAACCCAGAAAGAATATGTTGTCAGGATTTGGGGATCTTGGGGCTTCTGCTTTCTTTGGGGTGCCACCCTCTTATAAGACCTCCAAAGCTGTGACGGAAGAATGAAGAAAGCACTAGGAGGAAGCCGGCATGGTGACTAGGGACAACAGCCCCTACACCTCTGCCAAGGCGTGCAGACCTGATAAGGGGGAACTGCTCAGGGGGATTCTGCTCAAGGGCCATACGCTATGACGAGCCCTTCCTTGGTGTGTATGTCTATCTCCCCATCTGCCTCCTCCCTTCCCACTGTCTGCTCCCTGCCCCCAGAGATTCCCCCAACACACCAGCTGTCTTTCCCAAGGTGCCATGTTCTGTCCAGTGTCACAGCACAAAGGGCAGAGATAGGATGAAAGGGCTCAGGGTCAGGTGGCAGGAGTTCTGAGAAGAGGGCAATGATTGCAATGGGCTGCAGAAGATGGACACTACCTGAGCTACAGTATTGCCCAATCACAGACTTCTTCTCCCTGGGACCAGAAGAGACAACTAGAGCACTGTACAGGGTTGCTCTTCCAAGGCAAGACAGAAGAGTCTCCTAGTTTTAGAAATGTCTTCCTAGATTTCTTTCTTTTCAGATGCTATTGAGGTCAGGAAGTCTTCCCTGCCATCTATCCTCAAGGCTTTCTGCTATACTCTATGGGTCCTCTGGGGTCAGCTGGGACTGCTGGGGGATAGGATATATGGGCTTCCTTCCCTCTCTGGAAACTCTCCCTCATAGAGTCCAGTTGAGAGAGCACAGTCAGACTCCTGGTTCAGAGTTCCACAACCCTGTTAACTTTCCCTGGGACCTTGCACTAGTCACTTGCCCTATCTGAGTCAAGAGGCCCCTGTGTAATATGGAAAGATCACCTCTGTGTCTTTCTACTCTGGTCTGATGAGCAGTGGATTCAGGGACAAGGTTCAGGAATTTAGTAAGAGTTCATATTACTGTGCACTTTTCTAATGTCGTATCATTCCATTATCAGAAACTCTAAAAAGCCGGCACTTAGTTAAAGTCCCATTGTACAGATGAGAAAACCAAAGCACAAAGACGCTAATGCTTTGCCCAACATCACATAGCTAGTATGTGGCAGAACTAATATTCAAACTCACATAGGTAGTTTGTCCCCAGTACCCACATGATTAACCACTACTCCCATACAATCTCCCTAGTGAAAACATTCAAAAGACCTGGCTGAGGGAAATCAGCCAGGAAATTTAGATTGGCCCAGGGTCCTTGAAAATGTTTGCAGAAGCCAGGCATGGTAGCACATGCCTGTAATCCCAGTAACTTGGGAGGCACAGGAGGATCACAAGTTCAAGGTCAGCCTCAGCAATTTAGCAGACTTCGGTCTTAAAGAAGAAGAAGACAACGATGACGTCGACAAGAAGAAAGAAAAGAAAATGAGTAAAGCCTAGGCACCCTTGAGGTTTCCTGAAACACTTCCAGAGGTTTTATGAGGTCAAACCTATCTTCATAATAATGTTATATTACATTATTTGCTCTTTTCACTTTCATAATTTCAAGAGTGTTAGGTGGAATTTTCTAGAAGCTGTATGACATACATTACAGCATATTGAATATAGCAACAGAAAGGAGAAACCAACTTTTTTAAATTGAGCTATCCATTAAACAGATGAGAAAATGTAAGACAACATCACTCTTACTAAACCTGTTGTTTTAGAAAATATAGGTATTTTTCAAGATGTGTCATTTGTGTTAACAGGAAGTAGAGTTATTGCTGTTACATTTTCCATGAATTAATAATGATTTTAAATCTCCCCAATGTTCATTTCTAATATGGTAAATATTGATGTGATCCATACAAATTTTTTGAAAATCTTCAGTAACTTTGAAGTGTGAAAGGGTCCTGAGATCAACAAGTTTGAGAGTCACTACACTGCTCTAGCTAACCTCAGAAGCTCTCTCCTCACACCAGCTACCGGTGTCTTTTTTTTTTTTTTTTTTAATAATAGGGTCATCCAGGAAGATTTAGACATGGTAAGAGGGTGTGTGCCTGGGTCTAGAAAGGGGACTGGGACCGCGGGTGGAGCTAAGGAGGCCAGTCTAGAGACAATGTAACACTAAAAGGCAAGGCCTATACCCGGAGGTGTCCCCACATCTCCTACCTTGCAAGCCCCTGCTCAGAGGTCTGTCCAAGACAATGGAACCATCCCAAGTCAGACTCTGATCTCTAACCCCTGTTTCCACTCCAGACACTGGCTGACAAGCCCAGCATCAGGCTGGAGTCAGACCTCCCTAGAGAAAGACTCTGTGGGGCCTGGACACCCACATGCTTTTTGTGTGTATTTGAGCCAACAATGCTTGGAGGACAGGAAATTGGATGTTCTAGGGGCTATTGTTTGCAATCTTAGGGTGAAGCCATCTCTTCAGGATGGGGAAGTGGTAGGAAAGAAGTCTCTCTTGAGGATCACCAGAGAGTTGGAAAGTGGGGTCTTACATATGCCCTACGATAGAATGCCCAAAGAAGCCTTTAAAGCCAGGGTCCTCCCCCAGAATAAGCAAACAGAAAGGTTTCCTGGCTAGAGTCAAGCTGGACAGTAGCCACTCTGCGTTCTCGGAGCCAGGCATTTTGCTGGGTGCCAAGGAGTCTGGGGAGAGAAGAGATGCCTTGCTTCAGGGAGTCCCCTAAAGGGGCATAGGCTGTACCCTAGAGGAACCCCCAAATCAGATGAGGAAGACAAGATGTCTCTTCCAACATCATCATGCATAGGGCATCCTGGGCAAAGTCATATTGTAAGGGGAAAGCAAGATGGCAGAGCAGAGAGGGAAACAGAAAGAAGGTGGTTTGCAGGAGGGGTGGGACTTAGAATGGTCTGTGTGAGGATCCTGAATTGGGGAAGAGTGTGGCCCAGAGACTGCCCTTGTATATGGTCCCCTAGAACAGTTGAAGAACACAGTCCCAAGAGATATGGGTGCTGGAGGGAAGAGGGAAAGGCAATCTTGGAAACCTTGATTGGGAAGCTTTTATCTGATGCCAATGGAAAGGGCAAAAACTGATACTTCATGAGGACAGTTCTAGTGTTAATTCCATGGTGGAGCAAAGGGAAGGAATCAAGGAAAGAGAGTCTGGAGTTTTCAGGAAGGTCATCAAGAAGGCTGCCCTAGGCAAGCAGGCTGAAGGGATGGACAGGCTAATCAGAGGACAGAAGAGGAAGACACTAAAACCTGAAACAAGTTGGGGCAAACTAGAGCAGGAAGAGGACAGACAGGATGAAGAGGAAAAAAAGAGACAAAGTTATGTGGGGAGTGCAGGCGGGAGATGTGGGGATAGAGAGAAGCTGGTAGAAGCCAGAAGTTACTGGGAATGAATGGGAGAGAAACTATTTTGGGGATGCTCAACAGCTCAATTCACATTTACCAAATCTGAATTGAAGACAGGACATCTGTTTAGTAAAAATTCATAGGAAGAATGACTATGAGTGTGGAGACCCAGACTCAGGTGACAACCAGCCTGCTGGAATAAAATAGGAAACTCATCTTAAATTGCTTGATCATTCTTCCATCTTCCCAAACTCCAAAGGAGTGGAAGATAGAGACCTAGGATGGAGTCTAAGAAAAACAACCATGCCAGGCTGGGACAAGGCCCAGAAGCCAGGAGAGATGAAAGAGTAGAAAGAGAGAGGTGGGAGAACCCTAACAGCCAACAAGAGCAGTTTTTAACATGCTAACTACCTTCTAAGCCCTTTACAAATATTGACTCTTTTAATCCTCAAAACTATTATTAACCCCATTGTATGGATGAGGTGATTTAAACCCAGGAAGTCTGACTTCAAGGCTGTGATCTTAACCCAAAAGGAGGTCTGGGACAGCAATGTAGTCCAGCCATCCATAAGAGGCCCCTTGACAGTTGTCAGAATAATCTCTACACCTGTGAGCTTCAGAGCACCTCTCAGATAAGCTCTTTCCATGATGAGTTTTTATGTTTAGGGGTTATTTTTTGTTCTTATTTTAAATTTTTATTTATTTAGTTCCCCCCGGAAGTTTCTCTTTCTTTCTTTCCTAATCTTCTTTTCAAATGTCTTTCTTCTTATGGGACGTGCTTCCCAAAATCTAACCTACTAGAAGAGCTGCAAAAGGGCCATATACTCCCTTCCTCCATTAGAGACCTGAAGGCCACACAGTTCAGTTCTGACTTCTCTTCCACATTCCAGAGCCAGCCCCTCCCTTCCCCTACCACCTCAAATCCAGGCTCCAGGCTGGCAGACACCCACGGGAGGGTTTCTCCCACAATCCCATTCTCTTTGCCCTTTCAAGGTTCTGATGGGGGAGGGGGCAAAGAAGAACCACTCAGGATGCACTCCGTGAAAAAGTGGCAGCAACTAAACTCAGCTGAAGAAAAAAGAGCATTTAACTTCAACCTGAGAAAGAGACCAAGATAACACAGTAAATTCAAGAAGCTGTCATTCTCCAGAGCTGCTCCAGTCAACCACTTTTCACTGGGTGCTACAACATTTGGATTCCAAACCTCTGTCCAATCTTTCTGCAGTTTCATCTCACTGTTGTCCCTTGTTAGGACTTCTTATGTTAGGACTTCTCTTGTGTTAGGACTTCTCTCTGCCCCTTCCAGGGCCTCAGTACTGTCCTGGACAGCTTGGCTTCAGCCTGGACAGTAGCACTGACCAGTCAGGCAAGAGAAGAATCTAGGCCGGGAGAGAGAAGGAAGAATGGAAGTTTTTTTCTTCCGTCCTAAATAACTTTTGGCAGAAAATTTTAGGGGCTTCATCACCTAATGTCTCCTTCACTCTCCACCAATGTTAGAGGTCTCAACCTATTTTTCCATCTTGTGCGCAGAAACCAAATCTTTTGCTAGGAGGCCCAAGAATGTCCTTTGAGGAAATAGGTCTTACCCCCAAGAACCCGAAACACCTTATCCAAGCAATCCCAAGATAACTCCAGAGAACTTCATCTGAACCCACCAAGATCCGAGTGTCCCAGCCTCCTAGGTCCCTAGTGAGAACAAGGAAAGAAAGGCCCCTGGGTCCTCTGCCAGTCTCTTCCCTTCTAGCCCAAGCCAGCAAAGCTGGAGCTGTAAATGAGCTCCATGCAGAGTGGTACAGTTGGGCCACACAGAGGAGGTGGGGGAATGCCAGCAGAGATAGGTGATTCCCGGACAAGCATATGCACCCATACACTGGATGTGGGGCAATGTTGGGGAGACAGATTTTTCCCTTTTGGGGTAGGGGGCAGCAGTGAGATTCTGCATTAGAGCTGTAGAAGAAATGGGACCATAACCCTGCCCCCCTTGCCACTCCCACCCCCCACCCCCCAGTCAGTAGAGTCATTGCCATTTGATATCCACTGAGACAACTTGGCTGCTCTGGGCTCTGGGTGGGGGGTGGGGGGATGGCTCAGAAAACAGCAGCTCCTTTCAAGGCCCAGGTTGGCAAGAGCTTTGGGAGGCTGGACTGGCCCAGATCACCCCCAACTCCCCCTCCTTCCCTCCCTCCCTCACCACACCACCAAAGGACTCTCGGGGCAGGGGGGAGTTGGCACTGCTGGGCCATGCCTATTGCCTCCACAGTCCTGCCCTGGACCCTCTCCCTGGCTTGATGACCCAGGTTGGTCACCTCAGTCCTTCCCTCTCCTCCCCCTACTCTCCTCCCCCTACTCTCCTTTCTGAAGAACCAGCTAGGAGCCCGGACACCTGGTTCCTTCTAGACTTGGTCCCCTGGTCTCTGTCTACACCCTGAGGAATTAATGAGTCCTATCCCTTGGCCCAGAAGGGCGCCCACCATCATGCCAGGAACATGTTCAAAAACCCTTGGAGATCAGGGAGAGAGAGTTTCAGGATAAAACTAAACTGAACTCATTGGTGGCTAGTGGCCCATTCTGGGGCTGGTTTCCTACTACCCACTCCACACCCTCCTCAGCACCCCTAAAAAGGAGGACACCAAATTTTTCATTATCACCTCTCTCTCAGACTACCTGAGGGGAGTCCCAGTGGGGAGAAAAATAATTCAAGCGCCACAGCAAGAGCAAACTGGCCAGAAATCTGTAGCCGGGATTTGTATTGATATACAAGCTTATTGGGCTTTAGGCTTTGGATTCTTTGGGGGTCCAAATTTAAACTGGCTTCTTCACCACCCCCATTTCTCCATCTGCCACTGCCTGCCATTTACTAGAATAAATCTCAAAGATACCAGAGGCCCTACCCTCACTTTTTTCCAGTTTTGTCCTTCTACCTATCCTAGGGTTCAGCTCTCCTTCACCAAATCAGGAAGTTCCAACTTTCATGTCTTTCCTAATACAAGTGCCCTTGGTTAGTTCCTGGTGTGGGGAGGGATAGGATGGGAAGGGGCATCTCCCTTGGAGGATGAATTTATAGATCCCAATCTCCCCTCTTACTCTAGAAGGAGTTACTCTGCTCCTTTTTTCCTGGAACTCTTGGCTTGAAATAGCTGGGTGTGGGTGGGGGGCAATAGGGAGAGGTCTTTAGGTGAGAGAGCCAAGTTGGAGTGGAAGGCAAGGGGCGGGCAAGCACACCAGGTGGCTGTCTCCCTCTAACCTGTGTTTTTTTCTCCCCTGTGTGAACTGGTTTTCAGTGGGTGTCACTATATGGGGGAACATAAGAGTAACCTTTCCATATTGAGAGGTGGGGGCACAGTCTGTTTGCGAGTGTGGGGCGGTGCATGGTTATGCGTGGTTGTTGCTGTAAGAACTGGAAGAGCTGCAGGTCTGCCAGTCCTTAGAAGAAAGGACTGAGGTGACCAACCTGGGTAAAGTACGCTGTATGAGGAGCCCTTCCCAGGAGGGTCTATTTGGGACTACCCAAGGTGGAAGGAGGGGGAACTGGATGTATTGCTGAGGCCAGCCAGGGTAGGAATCAAGTCAGTGTCTCTGAAGAGTTAAATGAGCAGGACCCCGGCCAGGGCGGCAGCACTCCTTCATCAGGGCCAGGGTCTTACCTTGGGTTGAAAGTGGAGTGGTCCCTCGGATGGGCTGCGGGGCAGCGGGACAGATGGACGGACACGGGGAGGGCAGGAGTGAAGAGCGGAGCCGTGCGACGGGCTGGGCCAGGACTCTTAAACCCGGAGCTAGGATCAGATAAGGACTTGTCCGGGGGCCGGGGCCGGGGTCGGGCCGGCCGGGGGCAGAGCTGGGCCGGGCCGGGCCGCCCCCTCCCTCCGCAGCACAGGAGCCAAACTTTGTGTGAATGGAGGGGCCGGGAGGGGAGCCGAGCGGGCGGGGGCGGAGGGGCCCTGAACCGACCAATGGGAGAGTGGAGCGCCAGGCCCGAGCGGTGGGGATTGGAAGGGCTTGGCCAGGAGGCGGGGCGTAGAGGGCAAGGAAGCGGAGACCCAGACAGATGGAGGCGCAGAAACACCCAAAGACTGAGACCCAGACAGAGTCAGGGAGAAAGAGAGATGAAGGGACGATATGCGAAGCGATAGAAGCCGACCTGGCAAGATGACAGGGGAAGAGAGAAGGAAGAAAAGGGAGGCGGCCGTGTCAAAGACGAGGAACCAGAACGCGAGCCGCGGGGGCGGGACTGGGGGCGAGTTAATGAGGTGGAAATGAATTCAGGACTGGTCCACTGGCCCGGCGGGCTGCGCCTGGGAGTGAGATTGAGCAAGCTTGGCCTGGGCTCCCGGGCTACAGGGCTATATTATTCAGCTCAACTTTTGTTGTTCACCATTTCCTAAATAATCCGTGCTATGCTGGGTGCGAAATGAGAACATCATCCCCAGTTGCAGCGGCTTTTCCTGGAAAGGAAGCTCAGGCTGGAACAGGAGCAAAGTGTGGGAGATTTTGAAGGCTGCAGAAAGGGAAAGGCCACGGTACTTAAGGGGCTCCCAGATGTGGAGGGAAAAAGACAGGCATCTGCTGAGGGTCCCAAAGGATGCAGAGGATTTAGGAGACAGGAAATGGTGGGGAAGATACTTAAGGCAGAGGAACAACCTGAGCAAAGTTTTGAAGGGAAATGAAAATAAAGTCCATTTTGGGAGGGGGGAAACAGCATGAGATTGTTCCATTGGATTAGCGTATAGAGAAGTGGTTCTCAGCATTATCAACATGAGCAGGACTTCACTTCATCAAGATTTCTTTCATTACCTGGATCCTGTTTTGAGAGTTTTTTTTTTTTTAAATCCACAATTTCCACTCTTGACATGTATTGAAGAAGAGCATAGTTGTTTCCCATTTTCATTCAGTATGGACATTTAACTTCTCATCAACAAGCAGTGTTACCATATTCAGTTGATACAAATCCAGAGACAAAACCAAAAAGACTAGAAATTAAAGCCATATATGGGTAAGTGTACCTTTCAAAAAGCCTTCACTGGGGAAGAAGGAAGGTCTGGGCTAAAGTTAAGGCACCATTTGTATTGAGGTGAGGGCAAGCAGGTTTGAATCAAGGGGAAACAGTTGGCAAGTAGACTAAATAGAAAATAATTGTTGTAATTCAAGCATGAAGATATGTGAGCCTAATCAAAGTGGTAACAATGAAAAGTGGAACGGATAAAACATATTGGGGTTCAGAAAAGTCAAAAGAAGACAAAAAGCCAGGCACAGTGGCACATGCTTGTACTTTCAGCAATTCTGGAGGCTGAAGCAGGAGGATCACAAGTTCTAAGTCACCCTCAGGAATGGCAAGACTCTGTCTCAAAATAAAACAAAAAGGACTGAGGATGTGGGCGGGGGCTGTGGCTCAGTAGTAGAGCACTTGCCTAGCATGTGTGAGGCACTGGATTCAATCCTCAGCACTGCATGTAAATAAATAAATAAAATAAAGGTCCATCAACAACTAATAAAAATATTTTTTAAAAAGGAAAGGGGCAGGGGCGAGGACGTGACTAAACGTTCCTGGGTTCAATCCCCAGTACCCCCAAAAATAAAGAAAGAAAACAAAAACTTAAGGATCAACTTGATACACAAAAGGGGAGGCTTTAGGGATCATCCTAAAATCTGAACTTGAGCAATCAGGAAAATTATGAGACCCCTGATGGACATAAAGAAGCTCAGGGGAGGAGCCAACCTGGTGAAAGGACTGTGATGGGGAAGAAGAAACGATGAGGTCAGAACTAGGAATCGTGGAAAAGGGTTGGAGCCAGAGAGAGACGGAGAAAGCGGCTCCCAAGGCAGGGTGGGCTGAAGCCATGACAGCGAGTAGCTTGCAACAAAGACTGAACCCCGGAAAGACAGCCTGACACAGAGAGTGAGGAATTCTCACACTGGGAAGCTGAGAAGGATCCCCAAAGAGTACCAGAGAATCCACCAGACAGGCAGATAGGCGTCAAAGAGTAGGTCACAAGAGTCAAAGAAGGAGAGACTGCTCAGGAGGAGGTTGTAACAGTGTCGGCAGGTGAAAATATTTGGCAATGAGAAAGCCACTAGTGACATTTGAAAGCAGTTTCAGAAGAGTGATCAAGGTGGGAACTAGATTACAAGGGGTTATCATTAGAAAGTGAGAAAATGTTGGCAAGTACAGGTCACCCTTCAGAGAACTTTACTCCAAAGGAGAGAAATACGGTAGGCATAAGGACAATGTACTAGAAACTGTCTTCTAGGCTTTCTTCAAACTCCCCATACCCTCTATTCCTGCAAATAGAAATGAGGGGCTGTGTGAAGGTGTTCTAAAGGCCACTCTGCAGGGCTGCTCTAAGATCTTGAAGGCAGTAGGAAGGGAATATCTAAAAGATCCCTAAAGAGCCCACAGTCTTGACATTCAGAGCTAGAGAAGATTTGGGGGCTTTGGTAAAAACTACAAAATAAAATAAACAACACCAGAGAAGAGAAAGCAAAGAACTATAATGTTTTATAGAATCATTAATAGACATTCATTTTGTATTTATATTTTCCCAAAAATGTTATCCAAGCATTTGGCTTCAGTTATCATCCATGTATCAGTACCTCCAACCCACTTGGATATTCATTTCCAATTCAGCACTTTTAAAGTAGAACTTGTGATCTTGCTCACATGAATGTTCCTCTTCATTAATTTCCTACCACAGTGAATATACTATATAACCCAACCAGAACACACAGCAGTCTGCTAGGCTCTTCATTTTTCTTTACTTCCTGTTCCTTATATAATTAATACTTTTACTTTCTCTCTCTTCCCCCCCTCCTATTAGGGATTGAACCCAGGGTTGCTTTACCACTGAACTACACTTTTTACTTTTATTTTGAGACAGGGTCTTGCTAAGTTGCCCAGGCTGACCTTGAACTTGCAATCCTCTTGCCTCAGCCTCTAGAGCAGCAGGAATTAGAGATGTGTGCTACCAGTCCAGCTAAAGTTATCTGCTTCCTAAATCACCTAAATATTGCCCCTTTCCTCTCTATCCTATTATTTTGTAATGACCTGGAACACCATCTCCCAGGGTTACTGTAGCAGCTTCTAATTGGTCTTTTTACTTTCAGTCTTTCTCCACTCTAATAATCCTTTAGATCATGAATTCTTTTATGTAGAGATCATTAACACCAATAACACATATCTCTCTGAAACATAAATCTGACTGTGTCACTTCTCAGTTCAAAAACCTTCAATAATTGCCAACAGTCTATAAGTAAAATGCAAGTTCCTTACCATGCGACAGAAGGCCCGCTTTAACCTGGACATGGCACCATTCCACCCTCATCTTCTTCCACTGACCCTACCTAGACCTCCAAACCTAGAACAACTTCCTCCTCCAAAACCCATGGATCAGTCTTTTTATATCCTGCTCCTGGAGCCTCTGTGACTTACAGTGTCTCTGAGCAATGCCCAAACCTCTCTCTTTACCCCTACACTCTCTTTGGAGCTACATACACTTTCATGATTCCAGTCACGGGGGATTTCCATGTCCACATGACAGGCCCCAAACCAAGCTTGTCCTCTCCTGGGTGGGAGTGCTTGTGACTTCCTCCTTTCTGTGTTACTCCTGGTCAAGCAGACTAAATATCTAAAAATAGTCTTGAATCTTTACCCTTGCCCTATGCTCCATCTCAGGGCATACCAATTAAGCCACCAGAGTTTTGTTAAGTCTCCTTTAGTTATATCTCTCTAGGATATCCTTTTTCATTTTCATGACCTCTGCCAGGATCAGGAACATCACTACCAGCCCAGGTTCTGGCCCTTCTGCCCTTCACCATTCTCTCCAGTCTCAAGGGAAGAGGCAGCCTGTTTTCATTATATCAGTCCCTGGGCCATGGAATCAAATAGGTGCCCAAACAGTGCCCCTTTTTACATCTCACAGTCTGAACTCCTTTGTTGGGTGCTTCAGGAGACTCCTCTGTGAGGGGAAAGAAGAAAGGACCAAAGGGCAGTAGCAGAAAGAGAAACCTTGAAGATATCTCTGAAAAAAAATTCATTTCAGATAGTCTATGTCTTCTTTGCAGAGCAGAAGAGTCATCTGGGAAAACTCAAGATGGTAGAGGAAGGGACTGTCCAGTTAGAGAGAGTTTAGATATTCTAGAACAACTGGGGTGCAAGGCTGTGGAAAAACACACAGACAGCTTTAAAATACTATAAAGTTCTTGTTGTAGGGGAGTACTGGGGATTGAACCTGGTACCATTGAACTAATTCAATTCCCAATCTCCCGCCCCTTTCAAATGTTATTTTGAGACAGGTCTCTCCAAGTTGCTAGCCTCAAATTTGCCATCTTCCTGGCTCAGCCTCCCAAGCAGCTGCGGTTACAGGCATGTACCACCACACTTGGCTTATAATATTCCAATTTTAAATTAATGAATGAAATTGAGTTTCCATTCTTCAATTATATCCATCATTAATATTCCTTCATTCATTTGAAGTGTCAGTTTAAATTTTTTACTTCTTTTATAAAAAAGAATATGTAGATTAGTCACTAGGAACCCAATAGGGAATCAGTGATAGGGGCTTAGGAAATTAGTATTTGTGTTTCCTATGCATGATCAATCTTGAGATGGGAAAATCAAGATTGAGAGAGTTTGGGTGGCTTGCCTGGTAGCATAGCTAGAAAGCATTAGATTGGTGATTTGAATCCATGTATGTTTGACTCCAGAGTTGTCTTAGGGTAATACTAGAGAGAATTTGTATGCTTTAAGCACAGTCTTATTTTTCAACTAGAGGCTATGACCTATGGTCATATGTAATATAAAAAACTTCCCTGGGTCATGACATCTAGTGTCCACCATACAAAAGGACACAGTAACGCTGTCCTTGAGGATCTCTCTCTCTCTTCTCTCCTTTG